AGAGAGCAGTAGGAAAGACGAAAGGGCTAGAGAGCGAGGAAGAGGATAGAGGAGGCATGGGCGGGAAAGCAAGCAAGGAGGAGGTGGCCGTGAGCATGCGCGTGCGCACACGCAGCTGCTCCTACTAAGAGGTAGGGGACGATGGGGAGTTGGGTTGGGCCTCAACTACAACAGTTCTAGGCCGCACAGGTAAACCAGGTACAATTTCTGCTTTTCCTTATTTTCTTTATGTTTTCTTTTATTTATTTCTTTTGTCATTGTTTTCAAATATAACAAATTCAAACCCAGTGACAAAATTCCCCTGAATATTTTTATGTTGCACAGTAGAATTATCCAAAGGCACATAAATTATTTAAAATTATATTCTGATTATATAATATAAATACAAATACAAATACAATATCATTTAAATTCAAAGTCAAAGTCCCAAAAATAATTCCTCAAAAATGTTCCTAAATTTTGGTTTGATATATAACTCGCCAAAATTCTTAGAACTATTTTAAAGGCATTTTTGAAACATTGAATGCATTTTTTTGGGTTCTTTGCCCTTTATTTAGCAGAGGCTTTGAAAATTCCCTCAATTCAAAATTTTGAAATTTAAGGATGATGCATGATGCTCACAATACATGTATCCCAACTGCAATTAAACTAGCATGTTGTGTAAACAATTTTTTCAGTATGCTTGCCTACTAGCAATATGTTCAAGTTCCACCTTCGGAAAGGATCATCTACAGTTCCACTTCAAAGACTCCCTTCAACATTTTTCTTAAACTCAAGAGCAGCTCTGACGACGTTCCCTCTTGTGATGATTCCAACCTTACAAACCGAAGTTTGTTTTAAGATAAATTAACTAGAGCAAGAAAAGGAGAAAAATAGCAAGGCTTGGCCCACTCACCAATTTGCCCGAACTGTCGACTACTGGCAGCCTGCGGTATTTAGTAACAAGAAGTAACCTGCATGCCAAAATATCACCACCATCTAATTAAGTTATCTTTAAGAAACATTAACATACAAGTTGGTCCATATAATCTCTGGAAACCAATCAGTGATGTACACGTACCTTGCAGCATCTTCAAGGTTAGTAGTTTCACGCACCACAAGAGGTGCAGAAGTCATAACATCACTAACTACTTTCCCATTGGTTTTGCTTAAGAGCTTTTGTATCTGATGGAAAGTCTACAGGCAGGGGTTCGAGTAGAATCAGAGAAAAGCATGAAAATAAACAATATATACTAATACAAAGCATGCAGATACACATGCTTGGAGAACTCATTGCATTCTGATTCGCGCCAATGTCATTTACTCTTTTTCTAACTGGTTACCAATGATTTGGTGATGTTCCATTGAAAATGCAGGCTACCTCCTGTGATATCTCACCATTCAATATGCATAGGGATTTGCACCATTATATTAGCATGGTGTATTCTTTAATATAGTTCATTCTACATTTTCTTGTATAAGTAGTATAAGGAGGTATTCCTTGCACAGACTATCCCCTCCTGGCTCACTCATCCCCATGCTCCTGTGCCAACCCCCGACAACGAACAACGACATCATCATTAACTTATGAATCACATGCATGTGGATTTTGTTGAGACCAGAGTTTTGAATCATGCAACACATCTAATATTCAGTTTGTACCAAGCTTTTAGACTGCAATATTATTTCAACTTTACAAATATCACAAGTTTATGTTTTTGCACCCATTTTAAAATTGTAATATGGCTTCAACTTTAAAAATAATTTATGTTTAATGCATTTAAATAATTTTCAAGATTTAGTAAATGTTAAATCAAATATATTTTCATGAAGTTATGTGTCTTCTATAAAACTAAGAATCGCATCATGGGGTAACTAATAAATAGTGGATTGAGTGATTGTTAAAATTTCAAATAAAAAAGAATGAGAAATCCATATACTAGAAAAGATTAGTATATGTGGATTGAGTAACTCTTGGAAAAATCATGATACAAATTCCACAAAATCACGTCTTTCTTTTTATTCCTAGTAAAAACCCAAGAACTTCGTGATAATAATTCTAGAAAAACTACATACTAAGTTTTTCTCATGTAAAAAAGCTATGTTACTACTAATGTTGCCTGCTTTTATCTTCATGGTCCAACAAAGATGAATTAACACTGATTACATTGCATGCAGTCGTTTGTTTTCATTTATTAAAACATGGTTAATAATATAGCCAGGTGCTTGTTGTAAGCCATCATGTCATCCATAGCCATCATCTATAACCACTCATACAATAGTGTGGGCTATAAGGTTGGCTATTACATTACTACTTTTTTTTCTCTTCTCTCTTTCTCTTTCATCACATTTATTGTATTTGCCTAAAAATACGCATATAGCTAGCCTCTTGCATGAGAACCCACTTTCCTTACTTTTTCACATCTCTCTCCTCCACATAAACAAAAATGTCATGTAAGCAGGCTATAAGCCCACTATTGTATTTGCTCTTAACTCATCATTACTTCTCTACAATGTCATGCGAGTCATACTTGTTTGTATTAAAACTGTATTGGCTCAATAGGGAAACTAAAATGATTTCAGTCTGCATCCCAATGGTTCGAATTACAGGGAGGTGCGCCTCCATGTGCTCCTCGTCTGCATCATGTTCCATCATCTACAAAGCAAGATACTGCTATATACTTCTCCACAGTTGTACAAACAGGTACGATCCAGCAGAAGACCGAACCATTCATAAACAAAGCAGGACACTGCTGTACACGTGTCCACGATGGAAAAGAAACGATTGAACCATATTACAAAATAAAACTAGACAGATGGTTTTATAAATATCACTCTGAAAATTCTGCAAGACTGAGAGTGATGTTATTCCGCATCTCTTTTCCAGAGAATATGAAAAAATATGTTCGCATAAAGAATAACATGAAACTAGATTCAAATCCACACAAACCACAACCAGCGGAGTGGTAGCAATGGAGATCGAGACCAACCCAAGGCCACTCCGGGATGTCCAAACAAGCCACAACCAGCAGAGGCTCATGGCGCAGGAGAACTTGCCGAGGTGGAGATCTCCAAGCCCTCCCAGATCGGCTGGACGACAAACATGCTACCAATTAACCTTGCATTTTCCACCATAAATCCTTTCGGTACAGCCCCAAAGGAAAGCCTTCATCTTGTTGCTTAGACTCTTCTTAATGCCTTTAGACACGTTGATGGAAGGTAGTACACGGCTCAGACTCTTTCTTGGGGATCAAAACAATGTCTGGCAAATTGAGCCAATGAAAGTTAGCCATTTGCAGGTTGGAGAAGAGGTTAATCACCACCATGACATCTGATTTGATGGTGTTCCAGCAAGCTCTGAAAAAAGCACCGGTAAACCATCTGGGCCGGAGGGATGATCAGCCAGGGATTCAGTCTGCTGACATTGGGCATGAGGAGCAGTTTTGGCCAGAATGGGATGATCAGCCAGGGATTCAGCCTGCTGAAATTGGGCACGAGGAGCAGTATGATCAGCATTTACAGCATAATTCTGACCCTAATCTGCAGGATCAGGTTAATATTGCAGGTCAGAATGTTAATCATATCTTGGGACCAGTTATTGACTTAAATCAAAACCCACGGCAGCATGTACCAGGAGATTTCCTGGAGATCAGTGATCTTATAGCAGGGGCTCATGAGCTCAATCAGGAGGAATTCCAGAAACTGGAAGAGATGCTTAATCCTGTGATTCATAATCATCCTCCTATTCAACCAATTCTTCATGAAGTGCAGGCCAATGATCTGGATCTTAATGTTCCTGTGGTGGAGATGGCCATTAGTGATCTGACTGTGACCTTCAGTTCTGACTCAAGAGAACACTTCTAGTGATTCCGTCAAATGCATTCCAGGTGGGCATGGGAGTTCCAAATGAAAAGCTAGTTGATGTTCCAGTCCAGCAAGCTGGCAATATTATTATGAACAACATCCATCTTAGTATGGTGGTACTTGAACAGCAAGTGGATTATGATGCTCTGCCTCTGACTGCACTATTCTCTCACCAGAGAAAGTTGGACTATTTGCCTTGTGCTGCAATGGAGGGGACTTTTACTTTTGTGATGCGGAGCATCCCAAGGTCATCCCCATGGACCCAACTACATCTCCTACGACACCACTTGGACCCATGACACGAGCACGTGCAAGAGCTCTCGAAACCAAGGTGACATCTCTCCTCTCACATTTCCACTTCGATGCACATGAGACATGGCTACTACCTCAAACGGAGACATTGTGCATACTCAGGTATCAAGGAGTTGGCCATGAAGAAGCCAAGGAGCAAGGAGGATCAGAAGAGGAAGATGGGCGTGAAGACGGAGAAGAAGAAGAAGAAGAAGAAGAAGAAGAAGAAGAAGAGCTGCGGACGAAGCCTCGGCCACCGGACGACCGGTCGGGACCGGACGTCCGGAGCCTGAAGCCCCAGCCGAGCTACAGCGAGCGGACGTCCGGCCCGGACCGGACGACCGGCGACACCGCACCCGAGCCAAACGAGCGGAAGTCCGACGCCACCGGACGTCCGGCGACCGGACGACCGGCCCCTTCCGGAAATCCGCAACTTCCACATCCGAGCCAGAACCAGCGGACGACCGGCTACTACCGGACGTCCGGACGCCCGTGAGCCACCGGACGACCGGCCCCCCGCGAGCGTCCGGTACCTGGCTGTGTCCAGTTTCGGGCCTGAAGCCCATGTACCCCCTCCTTTCGCCCCCCATTTGCACTAAGACTATAAATAGATCTCATATTCATCCTAGCTAGGGTTAGCATTGGTTTAGCTCATATTTAGAGATAGAGCATTGCTCATCCACATCGGATCTACTCCACGAGAGAGACCGCGGCCCCTCTTCGGAGAAGATCCCTTTGGATTCAAGACCCCTCTAAGGGAAGATCCCCTCGTGGATTCAAGACTTCCTCACGGAGAAGACCGGCTACCTTTGTATCGTCCGTTGTTGACTTTGGATCTCGTATCTTCCTTTGTGTTCATGGATCTAGCGCATGTGTGATCATACTTGTTGGTTTGAGTGTTCTCTTGTGTTCCCCTTGTGATTTTCCCCTCGTTTCCCTCGTGTTCTTCGTGTTCATCGCGGGATCCGCTCCTTTCATGAAAGATCGGCCGATTAGGGTTCCTACCCTACATGAAACGCTCAAGTATCTTAAGGGCCAAACCAAGTTGAACAAGCGTCATGCTAAATGGAGTGAATTTATTGAGTCTTTTCCTTATGTCATCAAGTACATTAAATGTAAGGAAAACATTGTGGCGGATGCCCTTTCCCGCATATGCATGCTTGTTACTCAACTTGAATTGTACGTCATTGGTTTTGAGCATATAAAAGACTTGTATGAGCATGATCCTACTTTTGCTACTCCTTATGCCAAGTGTTTGACGCACACCTCTTGGGAATGCTATTACATCAAAGATGGATATCTTATGAGAGCTAACAAGCTTTGCATCCCCGAGTCTTCTCTTCGTTTGTTGCTTTTGCAGGAATCTCATGGAGGAGGCTTAATGGAACATTTTGGACGCGACAAGACTTTTGCCACGCTCTCCAAGAACTACTATTGGCCCAAGATGTTTCGTGACGTTAACCGCTTCACCAACCGATGCTCTACATGTCACAAAGCTAAGTCTAAAGCTCAATCCCATGGCCTTTACATGCCTCTCCCAATTCCATATCAATCATGGGAAGACATTAGCATGGATTTCGTACTTGATTTGCCTAGGACTAGAAATGGGAAGGATTCGGTATTTGTCGTTGTGGACCGTTTCTCTAAAATGGCACATTTCATTCCTTGCAACAAGATAGACGATGCTTCACATGTTGCTAATCTCTTTTGTAGAGAAATATTGCGTCTACATGGAGTGCCAAAGACTATCGTCTCGGACCACGACGTCAAATTCCTTAGCTACTTTTGGAAGACCCTATGCGCCAAGCTCGGAATCAAGCTACTCTTCTCCACGGCGTATCATCCACAAACCGACGACCAAACGGAGGTGACCAACCGCACACTCTCCGCTCTACTTCGAGTACTCATCAAGAAGAACATCAAGGAGTGGGAGGAGTGCCTACCTATCGCCGAGTTCACCTACAACCGAGCAAACACACTCAACAACCGGCAAGTCCCCCTTCGAGGTCGTCTACGGATTCAACCCATTATCACCATTGGAC